AAAGGAAAAAGGCCAAAAGCAAAAGATGGAAATCTGAAATTTTCAGAATTTTCGATTTTTCGGTAACCGTTCGTTTTAAGTCAGAATTCGGTTCTGTAAATTGGAGATTTTTCATTAAGTCACGAATTTTATCATGGAAACTAGATTAGGATCACAAGATGGCCCTTTCTAAGCATTGACTATAGATTTGAGAAGTTTACAAGTTATGATTTTTATTCTTTATCTTTATTTATTTTTATAACCATTTTTTTTGTATTTTTAAGCAATAAATGGGCCATTTAAGACTAAATTCGAGCCATAATGGAGGATTGGTCAAATGGAGGAGTTTGTCTTGATATATACAAGATGAATCATGCATTACAAGTACTTTTCAAAGCTTACTCAACTTTGTGCATGATTTTAGAAAAACATTAATGGCAAGGGCCCTAATGAGTTTATTATGATGAAGTATTGATGTGAAGAAGGTGATATTGTCTCCTTTGCTACCCTATATAAAGGGGTATCACCATAGACTCGAAATTCACATCATAATAAGCAAAGTCTTAGCTAAAGAGGGTAAGAAAGAGAGATAAATTGAGAGAAATCTTGACGAAGATAAGTTGAGATCAACTTCCGAAGTTTCATTTTCAAATTTCTTGAAGAAGGTTAGATGCTACCTTTTTATCATATGTTATAGTTTATATTAAGTGAATATTGATGTATTTTCATGCCATATATATATATTCAATTTTTAAAGAAATTTTAAAAATGAAAAAAATATGATAAGTTGTTTCCAGCACAATCACATGTTATATATGTATTGTTTTGATTTGAATTTGAGCATGATATGCATAACCTGGTATGTTAAGCTTATTATGGATATTTCTTGTGTAAGTGCTGAGTATATAGGTGAAAGAATTATGTTATTTGGCATAGTATAGCTTGAGTTATAAATTTTTGAAGTTAAGCATGCAAGTTGAATTTTATGTTCTTTATTTCAGCTGTGACTTTAAAATTTTAATAACTCGATATATACGCATGATAAAATTATGAAATTTTTACGACATGCTTATATATGGGTTAAGAACATGACTGCCAAATTTCATGATTTTATGTTGAGAAATGAGCGAGTTAAAATATTTATATGGCATACATGTCAAGATGATTTTATATGCAAGAGTATTTAGTACATGGTTAAGTTTTAAAATGGAATTTTTAGAAAAAAATTCTTATATGAGTAATGAGCAATTTGACCAAGTTTTAGTTTAATATGTTGAGTATACAATTTTATAAAGATTGTTGTAAATCTCACATATTAATATTATGATGAAAAGTTTAGTATGATTTGAGTTATTTTTCACTTTCGAGATAATCAAGTGAAAAATGAGTATAAGCCATATGTATAAGATTTGGGAGAAATAATATGAGTAAGTATTTGATTGAGTAAAAGATCAAGAAAAGTTTGAACCATAACAAGAATATTGAGATTTTATAAGATTTGGATGATTTATCCGAAAGAGTTGAAAATCCGAGTATACGAGCATAGTACTTAGTATATTTGTTTACGTATTTTTATGTAGCTTGAAGAGTTAGCTACTCGAGACCAACACTTACGATTTCAAAGGAGAAAGGTGGGGACCCAGACTGGGTATTACATTGAGTATAATATTGTTATCATGTTCGAGGTATGTATACAGTTTAAGTTTATACGCTTGGGATGAGGAGGCATTAATTTGTCTCGAAGATTATATCCTAAGTTCTGATGGAGGCGATACGTGCCTTAGAAATATCCATCAGATTGTGCACAAGTATCCGATAATATATCGGCCAGATTAAGTTACAGTTATTATATATATACCAAAGATCATGATATTGTATTATTATTGATGTTTACTTTAGTATGGGTATTAACGGGGTACAAAAGGACCAGTACTCACCCCCATTATGTTTTTCAGGTAACAGGGTCGGGCCGGAGGTGTGAGCAAATAAAGTGGTGGTGATGGTCGAGTACTCATTTCAAAGGACATTTGTAATAAATGAAATAAGTCTGTATAATTATTCACGTTTTTAAGTAATTCCGCTACGCTTATTAATATGTGAACTTGCATTTTAAATAAATTCAGATTTCAAGTTTTTATCATTTCATAAATATGAACATGATATAGTTAAATGCAAGTATATATATAAATCTGTTTTGTTATGTCTAAAATAAATAATTAGACAAAGTTAAAGTTAAACAGATTTTTAGGAAGAAGGAGTTTAAGTAGCATTCCGAGTTATTCGCAAAAAGATTTCGAAAGAGTTATAAGTAATTTCGAAATAAAAGTTGCGAAAAATTTACTCTGATAAGCGGGGTGTTACAAAAGATTCATCCTCATGGCTCTGGGACAATTGGATGCAAGTGCTAACTATTTTCAAATCTTATTGCTGGAAAGAGATTAGATCAGACAGGAGCACTAAGATCCTAGATGGTGGGTGGGTGCCAAAGCTTGGTGGCATAGCACCAACATTCCAAAATGCAGCAGACACCAATCCAATTTGGGTCCATGAACTTCTTGATGCCTCTGGTAGAAGATGGAACACAGATTTGGTGAAACACCTCTTTTCTGATCAGGTGAGTGAAGCAATCCTTAATATTGACACCATGGACTCATATAGGGAAGATAGATGGAGGTGGGACCTAAACAAAAAAGGGTTATTCACAGGGACAGAAGCTGGGAATTGAAGGTGAAAGAAAGGATCAATCACTTTATATGGAAGTGTTTCACTGGTACTCTGCCAGTGAGGGTGAATTTGAAAAAGAAAGGCATAGATGTGGATGTGATTTGTAAAATGTATGGAGAGGCTGAGAAGGCAGTAGAACATCTATTTCTTCCTACTGCAAGGCTAGGACTGTATGGAAATTGGGTCCAGTTTCTTGGGAAGGAATTCATTTGCAGAACACTAACTTCAAAACATGGTGGTGGCAGGTGTGTGCTATTGATAAAACTGAAACCTCTGAAGCTCGGATCCAACTCTCTACATATATTCTATGGTGGTTGTGGAGGTCTCGAAATCTGTGGCTATTTGTGCAGAAAAAAAATACCAAAAACTGTAATTTTGAAAAGAGCGGTTAGAGAATGGGAAGAGTTTAGAGTTGTGGCTCATGAGTGAATCAACAGTGGCATGCTAGCTGCAGATTGGAGGAGTGTTGGAAAATGGTGTTGTTTTCCTGATTTATCTTCTTTTTTGTTTTGCTGTAATGTTTGTAGTTGTTGATTAGTTCCTTGTTCTAGTGGTTAGGGTGTTTCTGTGTTTGTAGTTGGCTTAGGAGGTGTTATCAAAGATCACCTGCTTGATACCTCGGGTGGGCTTGTTTGTAGACCACTGTCTGTAGTGAGTCTCCCATTTTATTTCTATCTGTTTGGTAGGCTCGGCGGTTTGTACCATTAGTCTTATTTATTCTATGAGCATCTCCTATCGTTTAAAAAAAAAAAAAAAAAAAAAAAAAAAAAAAAAAAAAAAAAAAAAAAAAAATCTGCTTCTTCCTCAAGTTCTGGTCATCATATTCTGGATCATACAACAAAATAACATCTTAAATTATACATCAATACTATTAATCAACTACGCGTTGGTTTACAATGTAAAACTCAAACCACTTCTTTAGTGATTCAAGACCTCTAAAGGGGAGGGTTACAACCTTTATATATAAAGATGCTCTAAAGATCGAAATAATATTATAATATTCTTTAGTTTAGTAGAATCATTGAAGTAGTGAAGCTTTTACTATACAAATTTAATTATTTCAATTGTCGAGGAATTGTCATATAATCAATCATATTTTATCACGTCAGTTACAGTCTAACAACTTGGATATAAAATTTTTTGGTTTTGATTGGATTTTTTAGTTTAGGTTGGTTAAATTTAAAAAAATTGGTATGGTTAGTTGTTAGTGAGTATATTAAAATAATATTTAAAATAAAATGATTAAAATTAATTTGATGTAAAAGTAGGAGAGAGAAGATGTGATGTGATGGTTAGTTAAAATTATGTGAGTTGATGAATAGTGAATTAAGGTTGATGTTGTGTGTAAGAATGATTGATTGATATTATTAAATTATATTGATAAAATTAATGATAGTAGAGTTCAGTTAAAGTTTGAGTTAAAAAAAAAAGTGATTAAGTTAAAAATAATTGAATTTTTTGGGTTTAATTTTATATCCAAGCATGATGTAAAAGACTCTTTGTGGGATCACATTGAATTATGTATCAAGCCTTTTGACGATTAAATCCAAAAACAAAAATGTTGTTATCAGACCACGTAACCATTAGACACAAATATTTTCTTAACAGAAATACATACTCATACTATAAAATGTCACTTTTATTTATTTATATTTTAAAGTATCATAATTGACAATGAAAATGTGTACATATATAGAAATAGTATAACTAACGATGAGGCTTTCCATCAGAAGACTCATTGGTCCAGAAAATATACGTATGCACGAAACACAAGGAAGAAAGATGTTAACTTTGCTGGTTTGATGCACCCTTGAAATTTTTCTTATTAAGATAAGATAAATATATAACTTGGACACAAGGAAGAAAGATGTTAACTTCGCTGGCTAGATGCACCCTTGAAATTTTTACTTATTAAGAAAAATATAAAACTTGACATACATGTAACCCGCATATACAAAATCTCAAACCGGTCAAGTAGGTATTCGATAAATCATTAAATCTCAAACCGGTGATGATTGTTTGAAAGTGATAGTGATTAACCCAACATATAATTAACAAAAAGAAAAAGCAGAACGTATGCCACATATGATAGCAAATGATCCAAGAGTTAGTGGGAGTATGTGTTAGAGAGAGAGAGAGAGAGGTAAATCTATGAAAATGTTAATCATATTTACAGCTGGCAGTTTTTTACATTCAGTGAAACAATACAGACAGAAGCTGGGAATACCTTTGAAGAAAGGCCCCCTGTGCTACCCTAAAACTGCGAAATAAATGTGTTGCTAATATCTATTTCTGAATGTGTTGCTAATATCTATTTCTGATGCTCAGGATCATCTATGGATACCAAGAAAAAAAATTTACCAGAAAAATCTGTATACAGTATATTCCCACCTTATATATTCTTCTATATTGGCAGAGCCATTGTAAAATGTGACTCAATTATCACCAAAGTGCAGTGGGCAACAAGAACATATGTACCGTACTCAAAATGCGCTCGATTATCACTATAGTGAAATTGGCAACATGAACGTATCTACCTTCATAGAACTTCTAACATAGGCCGAATAGAAAAGAGAGTACTCACTCAAAATGGAAAACGGTTGATCTCGACTCTGTACATAAACACCTCAGCTGTAATGTGATCTCAGCCTTTGTAAAAAGTCTAATGTATCTTTGTATGATGGATCAGTCCTGCTCAAAGGCTTGCAAGAATTTACATGGTCCGTCGAATCCAATACCTGTGTTTTAGTAGACATGAATTTAGCATTTTGACAAACTTGCATTATAAGGTCACCAAGTCTCCATAAGATGTGGAGATAAATACAGTAGAAACCATCCTGAATGATTGACCCAAGTACAAAAGAACCCCAATTTTTATTTCAAAGCACAAATATTAACAACACCCAATCAATGTTTGCATAATGTGTTTCTTACTACTAGGAAAAAATTTTAAGAAGGAAAACGACTTTATCCCACTTGGTTCAGGGCATCTTTACTGGCGAACAGACCCAAACCATGGGTATGTGAGGCGCAGGATGTTTCTTTATTACAAAAACATATATTGTTTAAATAATAACAAAAGGTAGGAATCTTAATGACAACTAACCTTCTAATAAAAATAGAATTTGCAAGTTATCCGTATCAAGCAATTAACTGAACTATTATTATAACACCTACAAACTTACTACGAGTTCACCAAATCCAGGATACGCTGATTCCATGGGTACAATCTCCATACGAAAAGCCCAGCCTCCATAACCTTCTACTATTGGCGTTACTTTCGTCTGCCAAAAGTAAATAAATGTCAAATTCACATAAAATGGCTGCTGAAGGTGACACTATGACAGAAACTCAGCAATTAAGCACCTCACAGAAACTAAGGACATCAATCAACTTTTTCTTATGAAGTTGACGAACGAAATCATTCAGCTCCACTAGCCTAGGTGATCCACTTCTCAATTCTCCTATCTGGTCATAGCAGATGAAATCAGCATCAAGAGAAACACTGGTGTGTCTAGCCAAGGTTAAATAATGTAAAAGACAACTAAAACACTAACAGTAGGCGCAGGACGCAATACAAGACCCATGCGCCAAGGCATATCCGCAAGCTTGCTGCCAAAATGAGGACAGCTATAGAAAACCTGAAGACAAGAAGTTAGACATTTATGGGATATTGTGAAGAACAAATATGCAAAGTCTCATTAAGCTCCAAAGGACAAACATACAATTCCAACAGTATTCTCAACAAAATTATCTTTGTTTTCTGTCCTGGCTTGGTATAACATCTGCTTCACAACCAGGCCTCCCATGCTGCAGAAGAAATGTTTTATTGTTAATAAGAGTATGAATCCTATGCAAAACATGAAGTCTTGAACTCCTATATACAATGTTAAGGATAAAAGAATCACTGTCTATCTTAACATCATGTTGAAGTTAAAAATATTCTCCAATATCCAATCATATTCCTCCCACATAGATGTTTCTAAACTCTAACTCCCAAATTTTAATATTTAATGAATAAAATCATTTTACCTAAACAAAAAAAACTTTCTTCCAAGCATCACTCGAGTTTTCTATCATCAAGAGGCAATAATGCCCTTGGTTTTTAACATCCACCCTTTTCCTTTAACATCTCCATACACAAAAAATCTATAGACCTAAGTAACCCAAGATCAAATGGATTTAAGTAAGTAGTTTGCCTGTTACAGGCCAAAAACATTCCTGCCATCCCTCTAAACACAGAAAATATGAACACAACATAAACTTATTCTGCTTGCCAAGCAAGCAAAAAACTAAAATGTGCGTAATATCAAGTTTCTGAGTTTCAGTGAATTCCGTAGTCCAAAGCTAAAAAGAATCTTGCCTATGTGTTACAAATACAACTGGTCTATCCCCAATTCCTGCAGCAACAAGTTTATCTAACAGCATGGAGCTCACTTCCTGTAAACAAGAAGAAG